AGCAGTGCCTCATAACCGGAGTGTGGCTTCAGAAATCAGCAAGTCACCCTCCAGGTGAGGGCACTGCCTGGCTCTTCAAAGAATCTGGAATGGAGTAAGATGGTGTGTCTTTGTTAATTTGCTTTTTCTCTTTGTCGTGTAAAGAGGGGGAAAGGCTTTTAAGACTCAAGTAGGGAAGCTTCATCCTCTGACCTGTCCTTTATTAGTTCTTTGTCAGCAGTGAAGACATGCAAAAGACAGATTTTTAAAACAAGCTGGACTCCAGATTTCCTCAGCGGTACCTCCGTGCCTATTTTCACCGGCCCAGAAGCGAGGCATCCAACGTGCCCCATTTTCGCTACTGCGTTCCTAAGTATGAGGGAAACAGTTTAGACTTTTTAAGTCTTTCCAGAAACCAGGACTCTGATCGCAGTTTCCTCTTTGGTTTCTTTACCAGGCCGCAGGAGAGGACAATGTACACTCCGTGTTCAGGCGCCAGCATAGTGACTGAGACCTGCTAAGTCTGATATTCTGTTGTTGTTGCTTATAACTGTGTGTAGTTCATTACATTTGTACAATTGTTTCCTTGCCTTAACCAGCTCACTTATTTTTATCTTGTTGAACCATATGTATTTTTATAAGCCATCCCAACATTTTTGGAGCAAGAGGAGATACAAATAAATCACTGTACTACTTGCTACTTCAGAGAATACTTACACATCTCATTTGATCCTGACAGCAGTCTCATGAAGAATCATCCCTGTGTGATAGATGAGCAGACACTGAGACTCACACAGGGAAACTGACTTGTCCACGGTCACTGAGAGTGACAGACGGACAGATGTATCGACCTTTCACTGGCTGCCTCTGTTAAGTGACCAGGATAGAGCCCGTATATTCTAAGGTGTTTACAAGTTTTCATTTAAATTAGCTATGGGAGCACCTGGCTGGCCCAGTTGGTAGAGCATGAGTCTCTCAATCTCAGGGTTGTAAGTTCGAGCCCCACACCGAGTGCAGAGATTACTTAAAAATAAAATCTTGAATAAAAAAATAAAATAAAATGGCCGTGTTTCAAAGAACAGAAGAAAATTCTATTAGAAAGTATTTTGAAATATTAACACTGATTTCTGTGAATCTGATGAATGCAAAGTGTGACTGTTCGGGACATGTCAACATATAAAAAGGATTGAAACAACTCTTCTTCTGGGAAAGGTTAAAATGTACTACATCAAACAGAAAACAAACAGTGCCTGGTGGTTTGGTCTTGGCAAAATATGAAAAATGTAAATTGATTAAACTTACTTTAATGGGTATTTACCTGCAATTTGTCTCAAATCCAGGTGTAATCTAGATTCATTATCTTGCCCCTTCTGTCTAGGAGCTGTGAGTGCTGAGCACGGGGCTGGCAGGCTGGGAGAAAGGAATTAGGAAGGGAAACTGTGGAGCCAGGAAATCCAATCCTGTGTGTCTCTAGGACCCATTTAGTTGCTGACTCAAGAAGGAACAACATACAGACAGTGGCTAAGCCGAGCAAGGAGACAGCGATGTAGGCAGAGAGGGCAGAATCCCAGAGTCTGACTGGGTTTGGTACCCCACGGAGCTGCAGAGCGAAGCTCTCCTGCTGCTGTCGCTTTATTCTGACCCAGGGCTTCCTAGGTCCTGAGGGGGCCTTTTGGCAGGAGCTCCCGTAATCTGCCGGAGTATTTTGGCAGCCCTGCCGTTTCCCACCTTGCAGCACCAGAGAAGAGGGACCCATTAATCCAGTGGGATCGCTGCAAATCGCCTAGGCCTCTGTGCGAAGGTGGGAGCAATCACGTCTTTCTCAAACCCCTTTGGCTACACAGAAGGCACCATTTTAGACAAGGCATGAGTGAAAAAAAGAGGCAGCCGGCCAGATATGCACCTCCTGCATTAGCAGCACAACCTCTTCCTCCCGGAATCCAGGAAAAGAAAATCCAGTGAGAAAAATTTCCACGCAAGATGTAAGATATGTTTTGGGCCCTCGCCTCAGAACACCAGGTTTAAAATAAGGAAGAGGAAGACCTTGATTTGGTTTCCAAGGTTGAAAATGGTATTGTATTTTTTTAATAGTCTGATTTTTATTTAAACCATTACTCAGTGAAACCTCAAGGTCCAAAAGTTTATATATGTCCCCACAGCCTTGTAGCTTTAGTCAAAAGGAGGTCACATGCTGTGCAGGGTGTCTTCCAGCCTATTTTTTCACAAGACAGATCTGGGGTACAGCAGCATCTGAACATTTACATGTCAAGTGTGTAAATGCTTTGGAAGCCTCAAAGGAAAAGTTCCTGATGCACCTGGCAAGCCTGGAACCTGATCTCTCCTTCCTCACTGCTCACACGGCCCTGACACGGCGCACAGGGGGAGGCTGAGAAAGGAAGAAAAAAAAAACCCCTGCTTGAGAATTTAGAGTACAGAGTATGCCCATTCAAGTAACGATCAACAGAGCTGGCACATAGTTCCAGGAGCCAACCTTGGGCTTTCTCAAAGGACCTAAGTATACAAACTGGCGTTTACTGCGTAGCATTTGGTGAGAAGCATTTAACCATATCAACCCAAATTTTTGTGCTTAGAAGTTACTCAAGAATGATATTTGACTTTTCTTCAAACCCATTCAACCTGAAAGATTTCCAAGCATGTCACACATCACATTTAGCTACTTTTGCTGTGAAGGGCTTTCAGCCAACTGGCTCATGTTCATTGCCTAGAGAAGCAGAGGAAGAGAAATTTTTAGCAAATAGGTAAGCTCCTGAAATAAACTGTCATATGCTGGTTCCGAATAACTACACTAGTTTCCTCATTTAGATTATCAAAACAGTATGAACCTTCACCCGAATGCCTCTTAAAGATGTATCTGCTCCCCTGTTAAGGAAATCACCACTTCTACATGTCAGAATCGATTCATTATTTAACACCTAGCCCATCTCCATGAAGCATTCTCCTCCCCTTCCCCCACCCGATCTCGGCTTTGTCTCTCCTTTCCTGCAGGCATCGCTTGGAGGGCTCGCTCTGATGGTTAGCACCACGCTTGTGTTACTCCTGCTCCTGGAATGAGAAGTAGTGGGGAAGGTGCTCTGTTCGCCTTGCTTTGAATAGGTTCTAAATATTTGCTGAGTCAAATTGATTTCCTAAATAGCCTAATCACCATCTGACATAATCTTTATGAAGTCCCAACCAAAAGTTACACACACACAAACACACACACACACACACTTTTTTAATGGTGAATTTTCTTTAAGTTTCAGGTAATCTTCAGATCATGCGTGTGTCCCAGTCATTAGCATTAACTACAGGATCTTAAAGAAACTTTAAAGTTCAGACATATAATTAAATGTCTCTTTCCCTCCAGTTTCCTCACATGAACACAGAGAGTTAACACTGCAAAGACATTCATAGCCTTAGACTTTATACTCATGCGTGTCTGTTAGATTCCTGAGCTTTTCATGCTTTCATTTCTGCCTGAAATCCTTTGGAGGGGGGAGTGGGGGAGACCAGGCTATGAAGAAATGAAAGAGTTGTTTAAAACAAGGAAATAAGTATGTCTTTATTTGAGCTTTTTAAAAATCATTCAAGAAATAGACATTTAGTTATTTAATATACGACAGATTGGGTGCTATGGATACAAATGAGTATTACTACGCAGATATTACTATATGGATATGACAGTGTTTTCTTGACCTTTCTGACATCTTTGCTGGTCATAGATCCATAATAGTGTCTTCCAGTCTAGGTATGTCTGCAGTAAAAACTAAGTACCTCAAACTGAAGGAAGAATATTGTCGTAAATTTCTTTAATGTTTTAAAATATTTTGATCCTTTTCACACAGCTTGTGTTTACATGGCACTAAAGAAGCCTTTTATCAGGAAAGAAACTCTCCAGAACATATGCTGATGGATCACAGTATTTTGACCCCCCCCCCCCAAAAAAAAAAAAAAGGTTTTGTCTTTCTCATCTTTTTTTTTCCCCCCCATATTGTAGGGAGTTTTCCAAATGAAGGGTTTCAGGTAGGTTGTCTCCAGGTCAGTTCACTCTTGCAAGGTCTTGGCCAGTCATCAGTGGACACCCCCATCCTACCTCACCGACCTTTAGCCTCCACACCCACTCTGTGCCTCAACCAACAGACATGTTCCTTTGAGTTAGGATTTTTGTGAAAATTGTACAGGCTGGGGGCACTGGTCGTTAAAGGAATTTGATAGAGATCCTTTGGAAAACCAAAAAAGTTCTTTTGAAATATGAATATTTCTCCCCAGTTACAGGAACTGTTGTACAATTATGGTCCGTTCGTGCATCTGCTTGAATCAGCCTCTATCTGCAGAAAAACGGTTAAGACAGGGGAGATGTTCAGAGCCACCCTTTACTTTTAAAAACATGACCAATGTCATGCATAGAAACAAACTTACCAAGACCTGAAACAGAGGTCATAGCTGACTTATCTGAGGATATAAAAAATATTGATCCTTTGGTATCTTTTTTTCATTATATCAACAGTTCCACAAAAATTGTAAGTTCCTAAAGAAAGTATTGCTTTTTGAAATAGAATCATCAGGTCAACTTAAAAGACAAAGGGAAACAAACATTTGAGAAGCTACATTCAATTTAAAAATAGCATTTTGGAGCCCTGGCAAAAACAAAGCAAAGCCAACAAACAACCCCGCCGTTACTACAACAGTGTTCTTTTCCAAGTACGCCTTTATTTGTGCTTTTACATGTTTTCATTTTGACCGAAATTAAGAGAAATTTTAATGTGTTTAGGTTTGGACTCTGGAAACGTTCCACTAAGATCCCTGGTCTGGTGTCTGTGATGGCTAGAATTTGTAAAACCTAGTAGGAAGAAGATGTGATTATATTGGGTCTCAGACTGACTAACTGTTTTAGCAGGAATTTCATCTGCAAGACTAAATGCTGATCAACAGAGCATAATATTGTATTCTGAAGTGTGCTGGCTAAAGCAAAATTAATTTTTTTTCTCTTCTTTCTTTCCTCCCAAAATCTTCTGCCACAGCGACTGCATTTGCCTCCAGACTTGTCAGACACAGTGAGCCACTCAAGCAAACAGGATCTGGCAGGATCCTCCAAGCTGCTGGGCCCAGGCTGTGGCATGATGGCCGGAGGCAAGCAACACCTGGACTTCTAGCGATCCCTCCTTCGTCGTCGCATGCAGAATTATAGGACACCCTAATTATGATTGCTAATAGCTTCTGTAAATATTTTTCTTAACGATTTGACCCTCCCATCCTTGAAAAACAGTTAGGATTGCAAAATGAGGCCACCACTCTTCATTTTCCTTACCCAAATTTTTATGCAGAAAGAGTACAGCAAAACTACTTTCATTTTAAAATTTTGTTTTATGCTGTATTTAGAGAAAGCAGATAATTTTGTTTTTAAATAAAATGTCAGAAACTCAAAATGCCTCACAGTGGTCATGAGTGTACGTGTGTTAAGGCACTTCGTTCATGGTTAAGTGCATATTACAACACATAGTGTAAAAAAACAGTGAAATTCATAATTGTATATAAAAAACATTTTCTCTTGATTTCTGAAAAAGTCACTTGCCACCAAAAAAGTGCTAAGGCTTTTGTAAAATGAAAAACTCATTTGCTAATATGTGTGAAGACTATAATAAAATGAATTTGCATTTATGCATCCTGTTATTAAATTGATGAATACAAAATAATATTTTGGGATTAAGATTCCATTAAAGATCAGTAGTCTAACCATAGTAGTTAATAAATATAAAGAACCTGAGTGACAGAAAGCATAGAAAAAGAAGTTGATGGTCTTCTGTTTAGTAATCCTAAACAATCGAAGTCAGCACTATGAAATTACGTCAACAGACATAATTCAGGATTGAAATTCAAACTGACAGCTACATTAACGCTAGGGGAAAGCATGTATTGAAGCCTGGTGAGAGATTTTTGCAGAACACAGGTCTGAGACAAATCTAAAACTAACTCAGATTTCCATTGCACCAGGTAAGCCCTTTGTGAATTAGAGATGTTGGTTGTGTATGCACATTTATAACCATACAGACATGTGCTGGGGAGGTAGGTAGCACATCAAACCGGTTTTCATATAAAACACTAGGTTTTTGAATCATAGTTCCATATTCTCAAAGCTTTTGACAAATAGACAAAAAGTTAAGGTTAGAAAGTAACTTGCATTTAAGTATAGAACCTCAATTTTTAAAAAGCTGCTTAACATCCATTAGGAGAAACTGAATTTCTAAAATGCATCTTCAGTGATGTTAGAATAAATTTTGAAGCAGTTATAACTAGCATTTTTAAGCAGTTTGCTTGTAATACACCAGAAATTATACTTTATTTGTTCTTGACAACATTGTAGAAAACAAAGACTAGGTTTTTAAAACTGTCTAACCAATATGATGAATGTCAGTCACTTAAAAAAAAAAACCCACTGTAGCATAAACACACACTGTATACAGGTTTTATTCAGAATTAGAATAATTGAATCAATGACAGTGATTTGCCAGGATGTCAAATCTCTCCATCATATCCTGTCACTACCAGTTTATTTTTTGTGATCAAAATCAAAAAGACAACTATTTTGTCACCCGCTATTTTTTTAGTACTAAAAATCAGGTTTCTTCTATTTTTTTAGAATGTCTGGTTTATTTTTTTCACTTCTTTTAATTCGAAAGACACAAATTCTTCCCCATTTTCTTTTCAAAATAAAGTTTCAGAATTGATCTGTCAGTTAAAATTAAAGGGCTTTTATATTAAGCAAAGGTGCTTTTAAAATTTAAAGCAACTTCAAAAAATGAATTTAGTCCATAGATAATAAATAATGTGCAGATACTCCACAAAAGCTTTGCTATGTCCTTTCATAGCATTATGAACAATCTGAATAAATTCAAATGAATATTTTAGTTGGGTTATTATTTTAATAACTCTAACCTTTTTCTTACCATGTTGTGATTCATTTTATACAAACACACAACGGAACAATTATGTAGCATTTGACTCTGAAAAGGAAATGTGAAGTCATCAGATATGTAAATTGTTCATCAAAAATACTTAACAGGTCATTGATTTACTACCCTGGCTACCATGTCTATAAAATTAACACCAAATTACTAGTTAATATATGCTTTGCAAATAGATAAATACTATAAAAATTGAATGTGCATATTTGAACCCTTATTTTAAATATAAAAGAAACTTCAAACTCAGTAAAAGTGCATGTTGAGCAATAATTGTAGCTGGGCTTTCCGAAACTCAGATCCAGGTGCTTTGTTGTTATTCCCCAGGCAGGCTTTGCAAAAAGAAGCTACAGAGGGATGTATATTTTGGTTTTCCTCTGATAAAAACCCACTCTAAAAATGTGTTTTCCTTTCTTCTGGAAACATTACCAATTATCGGGACGCTAATAACTTACTACCCAAAAATAGTGGTCTTCAGTAATGCTACAGTAGGTATACAGACCATTTTTGATACATTATGAACTCCATTAACAGATTGTTTTCTCAGTCATCAACTTCTCTCAAAGATATATTCAAGTAACAGTACCAGCCATAGTATTTGAAATGTCCTCATATCTTTTGTTTCTAAAACTTCATAACCCTATCTAGTATTCATTTCTTACACTAGATTTGCCTTTTTTTAACATGAGGTAAATATTTTGAATACCGCACCCTGCTCTCAGGTGCTGAGGTTCTAAGACCTTCTGAATTTCTTTCTAGTAGCCACAAGACAATTTCCACTTTTCTCTTCCTCCTCTTCCATTTATTTGTTGTCTCTACCTCCAGAATCTGCAAATACTAACATTAGACCAAAAAAAACCAACAACAAAACAAAACAAAAAACAAAAACACTTCAAAAGGAAGCGACACTCTGCAGGCAATCAATTCCCTGTCTTTTAATTTTAAAGAATCAGACACACGCATACACATACAAAAGGGAAGGGGGGCTATTCATTTCTTTAGAGCCCATTATGAATGTCATTTCTAAAACATCCTGTTAATGCTTTCCAAAAATAGTCACCGTCAACGCCATCGAACTTTAATACTAACCCTAAGTACTTGCACTTTGAACTTTAAAAATGAGCAGTGAAATCATGTCAGGACCAGGCAAAAAACAAAAACACACCAAAAAAAAAAAAAAAATGCTACAGATGAGGTTTTTTTCTTGAGAAACAGAAAAGGGAAGCATTTGTGTTTGGCCTTCACGAGCCAAACACTATAGAGAGAAGAAAAGCATTTTTTTAAATCTTGTTAAAATTAAAGCCCAGGGCAAAAAGAAATAAGGAGAATATAGCCACCATCCTAAGATGGCAAAAATTCACAAAACGAAGAGAAACTACTATGTAAGTGAATTTGAGGCAACCTATTTCTGTTGTGGGGGAGGGGAAGGTAGGCAGAAATGATTGTATGAGCCACATCAAGAAGCTGTTTACCAGGTAAGAATTAGGAGGCCCAGCTTAGGAGGGTGCGGCAAATACTCCGGAAACTCACTGTAGCAAAAAGCAGGTTTTTTACTCAGAGTAATTTGGTTGTTTCCTATTCAAACACTCAGTTCTAATTTTGTTCGCTGGGTCTCCTTAAGTCCCTCAAGTCTGGAGAAAAATCATAGCTGTGAGTGTTGTGATTCTACTGAAGACAACACAGATGGGTATTTTGGTCACCATCCTGGAAGATGGCATCCAAGCTTCCCCGCAGCGTTCTCACGGATAAATATATAAATATACCTATCAGTAAATAAATAAAAATAAATTATTTCAACGACAACGAGTAAAAGTCCACCACCTCCAGGGCCCTGCTTCCGCACGACGCCTGTCATGCACGGCGCCTGCCATGCTGGTCCCCCGGGAGCTCCTAGAGCTCCATTCGGAAGGACAGCTCCTCTCCCTGGGGTGAGGGCAGAAGGCAAAGCAGCCGCTGTTCCCTGGCAGACCTGACCCTCGGAGGACACCCGTAAGTGCCCAAGCGCGCGTGCGCACAGAGACGCTCGGCTCCCACAGCACTCCACCCCCACCCCCATCCCCATCCCCAGCTCCCGCACCCAGAGCTCAGCACCCAGGTCTCCGAAGTCTGTGCTCTCTGCACCACTGAGCCGTGGGCCAGGCCTGGCTGCCTGACCCTGGCCCACATCTGAGCCAGTTGGAAAGTGTCCCTCCTCGCAGGGAAGAAGTGCGCCAGCCAGCAGCTGCAGCACACACCATGCAGCCCTCCCCTGGGAGTAGCGGCTGCACAAGGTCAGGAGGTAGAAGTGTGTGCACAGGCCAGTGCGACGACCGTGCATCCGTGTGCACACTGCAGAAGTGTGCAAGCGTGCCTTGAACACTGCCGCTGAATCCACAGCCGCGCACATGTAGGTCTAAAAACCGCAATCAACCCAGGAAGGTGTCTCTAGACGTGCAGCAATTCTGGTGGAAGAAAATGATTAATACGCAGCATGCCACAGGGATGAATCACAGTTATCTGTTCCGGAGAAAGCCCTTCACCAGAAAAGAGTGGATGCTGAACAAGAAGGCTCTTTCTTAAAGCCTCCAATTAATTTCTATATTTCTGACCATTTGCCTTTGGGGATTCAAAACAAAACAAAACAAAAGAGCAGAGTACAATTCAGTGCAAGTGTGTCTTTGTCCCCAGAGCGTTCTGCCTGTGCAAGCATTTCATCTAGACGGCCAGAACCCCCAGCCTCTGACTGAACTTCGCAGAAGAAAACTTATCCGTATTGACTTATATTTTGCGCAGAGCAGACAGAAAGAAAAGTCTTGGACGGGCCTTTTTTCACCCAACAAAGGCTTATTTTTTTCCATCCTTTGCTGGGGCTCAAGCACTCCTGCCCTGCGTGCCGCCACTTTAAACATGATCAGATCTGTGCTTCATTGCAAATAACAACTGGCCGACAATAGGCCCGGCTTCATAGATTTGGGAATGTTTGGCTTAAGCTGCCAATGACTGAAGGCCTTTAGCTCCCATCGGCCAGTCACAGTCCGCTTTGTTGTTGTCTGTTGATGTGTCTGTGCTCATTATTCCTTGACATGCAACATCCCCCCTCCACCCTCCAACCATCCACAACCGCACAGAGAGCGAGATTCAAATGGGAACAGCTGTAGTGGTTCAATGGGAAATGATGCCTCTTGTGCAAAGGGGAGGGAGAGAGAAAAGGGAGAGGACCTATTTGAGAAAGGCGACAGCTTTCAGAGAGTCTTGTATAAGAAATCTACTTTTGAATATACTTCAGTGAAATCGCTGTTGAAATAGCCCGACAATGGAAATCTGCCCAGATTGAAAATGCCAGCCCTAATTCCAAAGACAATTCCTAGTTAATAGCTTGTTGCATTTTTAAATCATTTCTAGACTTTGAGTTTTTGAACTAAATGGCTAGCTGGGGAATGTGACCGTTTTATATATACGTTGTGGGTACAGATGGGCACAGATCTACACATAGCTTTAAGTGAAATTTTTTTCCTAACACATCTCGAATTAATGAAGTGATAAGAATTATTTCTTTACGAATTAGAGTATGTATGAAAGGAACCGTTGGTTTAGAATGATAATCTAACATGGAAACAAAATTTGTAACACCACACTATAAGGTTAAAAAGAAAATAGTATAATAAAGGAAATACAAAGGCTTTGGCATGGTTTTTACAATCAACAATGGTTAATTTTGAT